GCAGAAAGGCAGAAAACAAAAGCAAACACGAAACATGAAACATAAAGACGCACAGGAAAACAAACAAGCATAAGAAGAAATATACAAAAGAGCATACATAAAGAAACAACAAACGCAAAGAAAGAAAAAAGGGAAACGAAGAACAGGGAGAATGAAGTATATCATATTGCTGCACAAAGAGAAATTCAGTCAGTCATGCAAACAACAGCGACAAACAAACAAATACAGCAGCATAAACATCCCGCAAGTCTCGCACTCGCCAGAGCGACAGGCAAATATGCCTCGGGAGCACTGTCTGGCTCTGGAGCTAAGAGGTAGCTAGCTGCATCGCGAGGCAGCTAGCTGCCTAGCTAGCTAGCTGCCTGGCTAGCCATTGGTGCGAGCGCCGCTTATTATGTAAGGGGTTTCGTCGCACCGTCTTGTGTGAGGGAGTTGGATGTTAGCCCGAGATAATTTTTGTCAGTGATTGAGAAAGCGCTGAAGCAGCTGCGGACGAGGGCTTCGACCTCGACGGACATCCGCTGCTCCTCTGGTCGCAACGGCTCGTTTGTTTTATTCAGCTGCTGCAGCAGCTGCATGTTCCCCCTCTGATCCCGTCGCCGCTGCTGCTTTCCAGCTGCTGTCTCTTCCTCGCGCTTCCTCTGAGCCCCAAACTCCGCAGCAGCAAACCCCCAACTCTCAAAGACGAACGGCACAATATACCCAGAGCTCTGGCTAGCTAGACTAGCTAGCTAGACTAGCTAGCCAGTCTAGCTTGCTGGCTTCCTCCTCACCTGCACGGTCCTGTAGACCTGGCGGTAGCAACTCAGGAGGTTTTTGTGTAGATGCGCTGTCGCGTAGTCTGCACAACTGGCAACACGAGCCGTACGTACACCGCAGCAAAAAGAATTAAACCTTTAGCTCACAGAAAGAGGAAAAACAATTACAGTAGAATGAAAGCCAAAAACTACAACGCAAAAAATCATATATAATAATACGTAGGCACCACCTTCTAGCGTCTCCCCTTCACACCTATGTGTGTACACCTCATGCCTGCGGGCATGTACACCCCAGTACAGAGGCAGATGCAAATGCTGTATCTGTAGCTACAGCTGCAGATTGTCCTTTTGCCTCTGAGGAGAAAACACTTTGAACGATACTGAACAGGGAGAGAATTCGTCTCCTGTGTTGTGTTTACACTCACTCTGTTCCCGCATGTCCGTCATATATAGCAGAGAAATAGCAAAGGCCCTCAGTGCTGCCGGCAAAGAAACCCAGAGGGAGGCCTG